TGTGCTGCTGAGCATGGACCCTACCCCTCTTCACGGACAGATCCTAGACTGGCATTTCTCTGTTGAGCCATGCCCTTACAAGTGCAGAGTGGAATGTGTCTGAGTGTGAGCACCAGTTTCTACATTCTCAGATGCCTGGGTTTTGTTTTCCCTGGGCTGTCCCTTTTCTGGGCCCTTCTCACCCTTAACAGCAAAACAAAACTTCCAAGCCTCCTCCCCATTCAATAGAGATTGCATCATTATCCTGGGCTTTCTGAGACTGTATAGGTCTCCACTTGGTAACCTCCCTTATCCTGCAGCTCTTGGCCTCTTCTACTGGCCAGTTCCTGTAAAGCCGACTATGCCCAGTGCAGGTGGGGACACATAAGAACATTTTTCCTATTAAAGATATCGTGGTGGTTTGATTAAGAATGGCCCCTATAGCCAGGTGGTAGTGGTGGATACTTTTAATTCCAGCACTCAAGAGGTAGAGGCAGGCTGATCTAAGAATTTGAGGCTAGCCTGGTCTACAGAGTGAGTTCTAGGACAGCCAAAGCTACACAGAGTTCTTGTCTCAAAAAAACCAAAGAAAGAAAGAAGCAAAGACAAGAAAGAAAGAAAGAAAGAAAGAAAGAAAGAAAGAAAGAAAGAAAGAGAAAGAAAGAAAAGGCCCTCATGGGCTCATATACTTCACTGCCTAGTGACCAGGGAGTGGCACTATTTGAAAGGATTATAAGGATTAGGAAGTGTGCCACAGGGGTTTGGCTTTTGAGGTTTCAAAAGCCTATAGTCTCTCTCTGCCTATGGGTCCAGGATGTAGCTCTCAGCTATTGTCCCTCTTGCCTGCTCCCCATCATCATAATACACTAAACCTTTGAAACTGTAACCCAATTAAATGCTTTCTTTTATGAGGGTTGCCTTGGTTGTGGTGTCTCTTTAACAGCAATGGAACAGTAACTAAGACAGGTATCTAGTTCCCTAAGGGCTACAAATCTTTTCAACCTAGTAAAAATTTTGATTTCACAAGCTCCTAGAACTTGGTGTGGGGCTGTGAACCCGTTATCCCTGCTTCCATTTTCTTTGTGCCAGTTCTTTTAAAACCAGGCAATCCCAAAAGCCTATAAGGCCAGATCCACGCAATGGGGAAAAGCCACAGTCATCATCTATTTTAGAACGAAAACCAAGAGAACTTAAGTGCCAGGCTGTGCTTGCTAGCCTGGTTTGGGTTCTAGCATGTCCTTACAGGGAGAAATTGCCTCACTGATGTACCCTGCTTACCTTGCTTAGACTCTGTTGCCCCTCGGTTGAGACCTACTTTGGTTCTGAGCATCACTGAAGCTCCTCTGTTAACACCTGCTGTGGCCTTTAATAGCAGAAGTCATTCTGCCTTCAAGTCTCCATTTTGATTATAAGGTGAAATAGAGTTCAGATTCTCAGGCCCTACCTGCCTGAGACCATAATACAATTCAATAGTTCAATGCTTGCTTCTTAGACTAAAACGATGATAAATGCATGTTCTGCTTGAATTAAAGATAAATGCATGATCTATTAGAGTTAAGACTGCAACATCCTGCTATGTTCCTTCCCCCAGAATGGTAGGGAACTGCAAAGTCCCCAAGCCTATATATCCCAGCCAACCAGCTTAAAACGCCTTGTCTAGCTACCTAGATACAATACACTTGTAACAAAATCAATTATGTTTAGCTAGTCAAAATGATGTAATGCTGCCTACACTTGGTTACTTGGTTACAGTTTTTTTTTGTATAAACAGCCTGCCTTAACAAACCAGTGTTTTTTGTTGTTGTTGTTGTTTTTGTTTTTAACAAACCAGTGTTATAGTGTGGTTTCCGAATCCAGGCTATGTCCCTAGCCAGTCAGTTTTTGTTCAGCATTCAATAAACTTCTATCAATCTGAGCCTGGTGTTTGAATGGTCAGTCTGCGGCTATTCTTGAACCCATAACATCATCAAGCTACCAAGCTACTTTTACTCTGTTTCTTTGTGTGATGCTTCACTGTTTCTAACTGGTGCTACAGTTCTCTGATGCTCAATGGGTGTTACGGGCAACAACCAGTTACAAATCAGAAAACCCAAATCAAGGCCCAGCCCTTATTCCTCTGGGAGACCTCTTGTCTTCCCAGCCACCTGCTCCCACGAACTCATGACCGCCCTACCTCGGCTTCCTGAAAGCTGAAACTACAAGCATGCATACCTTAGCAGGCTGGAACACCCATATCACAGTGCATATTCAGTGGGCTGTGTCATACCCAATGTCCTTATTTCCAGAACATTCCTATCCCCTCTGATGAGACTTTGTCCCCATTAGCAGGCACTCCTGGCTCTCTAGGAAGTAGCAACTCACTTGATGGCCTGTTGTGGATATTTTATAAATGAAATAATACAAAATGTAACCACTTTCCCCCATCACTTTTTTTTTCTTTGTATTTTGAGACAGTGTTTCTCTGTACAACAGCCCCCAACATCCCTGGCTGTCCTGGACTTGCTTTATAGACCAGGCTGGCCTCGGGACTCACAGAGATCTGCCTGCCTCCGCCTCCCAGAGTGCTGAGATTACAGGCCTGCGCCATGGCCCTGCTGTTGACTCACCTTGTAACATTTACTGTTGCATCATGTGTCTGTATGTGCACAGGGCTTGTGTGCAACACAAAGGTCAAGACTAACTGTCTCTTCCTTTTTTTTTTTTTTTACTTTATTTCCTAGATTGGGTCTGACACTGGAGTTGATTGGGTAGGCTGGCCGGGGATCCTCCAGTCTCCTCCTCTCTTAGCACTGGTCTTAGACATTCACAGTGACACCTGGCTTTCATGTGGGTGCTCCCTAGCTCCTCTGCACTTAGGTCTTATGCTTCCCGGCAAGCACCTTACCAGCTGTGCCACCTCCCCAGGTGGCAGGTCCCGGATACAGGCATCAATATTTCACTCTTTTGTTTTTAATTACTGCATACATGTGTACATGAACATTCTTTTCTTTTTTTCTTTCTTCTTCTTTTTTTGTTTTTTTTGTTTTTTGCTTTTGGTTTTTTACTTTTTTCAAGACAGGGTTTCTCTATGTAGTCTTGGCTGTCCTGGACTCCCTTTGTAGACAAGGCTGGGCTCGAACTCACAGAGATCTGCCTCCCTCTGCCTCCCTGAGTGCTGGGACTGCAGGTGTTTGCCTTCACAGCCGGCTCCTGTGACTATATCTTTAATATTTCTAGTGACACCGTATTGGAGAATTCTCATGAGTCTGCTTGGTATCACTGAAGTGTAGGTGGGACTCCACCGCTTTGTGATGGCCTCAGCAGCACTCTTTGCCCTTGTGAATGCTGTCTGCAGGGTCACCTGACCATATCACAGATGGCAAAACCAGTGTTTAAAAAAATAATCTATCACAGTGTGATGATCTGAAAGTGTGTGGGAAGCCAGGATGTTTTGGCGCACACCTTTAATCCCAGCACTCGAGGCAGAGGCAGATGAATCCCGGTGGGTGCAAGGCCAGCCTGGTCTATAGAGTGAGCTCCAGGACAGCCAGGACTACAGAGAGGCCCTGACTAGAAAAGCAAACGGGAAGCAGCGGTACAGATGCTCACCTGTAAGCCAGCAGTCAGGCAGCTGAAGCAGGAGGATCACAAGTTCTAGGCCAGCCTGACTGCACAGTGAGATGGTTATGGAAACTACAAGTGAACTAGTGCCTAATCACCCCAGACTGGGTGCCAACAGCAGAGGCCCCCTGTGGAGGAATGCCAGACTCCAAGCCTGAGGACAGTAATGGATGCAGTACTCCAAGGACAATGTGCTACAATAGAGACCCTGGGATTCCTGAGGCCTAGGCTCAAAAATGTATTAGTAAAGCATAGAAATGGATGCGTGTAGACTCAGTGTTTGTCCGATCGCTTTTAAAATTAGTCCTGGGGCTCTAACCCAGGACCTTGTACATGCTGGCCAGCCACATGCCCAGCACTGTTTTACTTTTGTTGTTTTTTTGAGACAAGAGTCTAACAATTAGCTCTGGCTGTCCTGGAATTCATTGTGTAGACCAGGCAGGTATCTCAAACTCACAGAGACCCACCAGCCTCTGCTTCCTGAGTGCCACCACTTCTGGCTAGGTGCCATTTTCTGTGATGGATGTGAAGTCCCCTGCGGCTACTGAGCGATGATGTGTGTGTGGCCATATTACGGTACATGTGACACTTCATTTCCCTGTTCTGACTCGCTGCTACCAGACCAAGCTATAAGAATAGCAGGTCCTCTCCTGTGGGGCCACAACGCTGGGCTGGTCAGGGCTGAGGCTCCTGAGTGGCACACTAGCTGTAGCTTCCATTTAACTGTCACAGCCATCCCCTTCTGCTACAAGTGGTAGCCAGGGAGGGTCCTCGGTGTCCCAGGGGAGGCTGAACAGCTCAGACCCCAACACAACTCAGGCAATTTAAAGCCAAGATAATTTGTGCCCAGCACCTCCCCCAGCTCTTTTGGAGGGACAGAGCTATGGTTGTTCTGGGCCTCCTACCTGATAGCAGCCTGAAACAGCTGGTGTGTCTGATAGTGCCTGAAAGAGAGCTGGTGCCAAGTCCCGCCATTAGCACCGTTGCTGCTGTTTGTTGGGGAGGGTAAGGGATGAGTGGCCAAGATGGGGGGCCAAAGGTTCCCAAAGACCTTTCCCAAGAAATCTATCCTTCCTGGTCCACCCCCCAAGGAGAGAGACTTGAGACCAGACCAAACAGGCCTTTCAGTTATGGGGGGGTGGGGATGGTGTCAGGACTTTTCTTTACTGGTCACCTGACCCCTTGACATCTGGCTTAATTTACACATAGGGTTGGTTTTCAGGGACCAGTTCCCAAACAAGCCAAGGTGAAGTCGGCTCCCTTGAATGTGACACACACATCACACACACACACACACACACACACACACACACACACACACACACCCCTCCCTTGCCTTGCCCTGGCCTTATCAGTGAAGACAGCCAATCAGATGAGGGCAGACAGGAGCCCTCCAAGAATCCCTCCTAGCCTCATAGCCCATGAGACAGAAGAGGGAGAGGAGGCCTGAGGCCCAGGGTGGACACCAGCCAGCCATGGCCGCAGCTGAGACTGTTCTGCCCTCCATCAGCACTCTCACCAGCCTGGGCCAGTTCCTGGACATACAGGAGGACGTCAAGGTGGGCCAGTGTGGAGCAGGTGGCCCTGCTGTGACCTAGGGCGCAGGACTGGGGGGAGGCCTCTGTCTTACTCTAGTATCCTCCTCTGCTCAGGTGTTTTGTTTTTGGGTTTTTTGTTTGTTTTGTTTTTTGCGTGCGGTGGGGTGAGGTGGGGTCCGAGCCTGGCTTGGGGGTGCTGGTCTAAGGGTCTGATCAAGGTGAGGCTTATTTCTGTAATAAGAAGCTGATTCTGAGCTCAGTACCTTAAGGCTCAGGGAGGAAAAGTCCCAGAAAAAGGTGTCTTGGGATTTCCAGGCTTTGAAATTTAATCTAGTTGGGATATGTGAAAAGGCCAGGAAGGGCTGGGGAAGAGCGCCAAAGCTGCCCCTGACCTCCCACTCAGAACTCTGCAACCCCTCCCCCATCCTGAACGCTGGTTTTGGTAAGTGTCTTATCTGTCTCTAGCCAGACCTAATGGACTTGTCAGGAGCTGAGAAAGAGGTTAGGGGAACAGTGTGGGGAAGAGATAGGCACGCAAACCCTAGACCAACCTGGCCCAACGGTATTTCCAGCCCGGACTGCATCAAGGCCAGGTACCCACTGCCTAACATTCAAGCAGTGCGCTCCCCCACCCCCCTCCAGCAGTGGTGGCGCCACGACCAGACGCAGGATTTGGGCCCTGGGCCCCCCCTTCAAGTGAGTGTGAAATCGGAGGACCCGCCAGGAGAGGACGAGGATGATGAGAAGGACATGACCTGTGCCTGGGGTCCGGATCTTTTCCTCACAAACTTTCCAGGTCCCGAGCCGCCTGGCACTTCCCGGACCTGTGCCCTGGCGCCCAGCGGAGGCCCAGTGGCACAGTTCGCGCCGCCGGAGCCTCTGGGCGCTTATGTGGGTGGCCCAGGGTTAGTGACCGGGCCTTTGGGCTCAGAGGAGCACGCGGGCTGGGCGCACCCCGCCCCGCGAGCCTCAGCCCCTGAACCCTTCGTGGCCCCAGCCCTAGCCCCAGCCCTAGCCCCGGGACCCGCGCCCAAGGCGCAGCCGGCTTTCTCTGACTCGCGAGCGGCCTCGGCAGGGGGCTTCTTCCCGCGGACGGGGCTCGCGGTGCCCGCGGCTGCCGGGGCCCCCTACGGGCTGCTGTCGGGGTACCCGGCGCTGTACCCCGCGCCACAGTACCAAGGGCATTTCCAGCTCTTCCGCGGGCTCGCGGCGCCTTCGGCGGGCCCCGCCGCGCCCCCTTCCTTCCTGAATTGTCCGGGACCCGGAGCGGCGGGCACCGACCTCGCGGCCTCCGCGCTCACAGGAGACTCAGGCCTGTCCCCGGGAGCCGCGCCGCTCAAGCGCAGCCGGCGAGCGCTGGCGGGGAAGAGGCTGGCGGCACACACGTGTGAGCACCCGGACTGCGGGAAGAGCTACACGAAGAGCTCGCACCTCAAGGCTCACCTGCGCACGCACACAGGTAGGTCCGGACCGCAGCCGGCGGCCCCGGGGGCGGGAGCACGCCGGAGGGTGGTCAGAGGCAGCTAAAGGCGGCCCTTGAGACACGGGGTCAGGTCTAGGGGGCCGATGCTAGACCCAAATGGGGACTGGCGAGTCCCAGCACTCAGGAGGCAGAGGCGGTGGCGATCAGTGACTCTGAGGCCAACCTGGTCTATTGTAGTGAGGTCCAGCAGCCTTTGATACAGAGTGAGATCCAGTCTCCAAAGTAAGTAAGTAAATAGGGAAATGGGTGTAGACAGAGGACCTGGGGAACTTCGGGGTCTCCGGATTCGAAGGCGACGTGTAAGGCCTGGGTTGGAGGTGGGCCCGGGAAGAGTAGGACGGATGAGTGGCCCCTGGGAGGGCACAAGCTTGGAATGCCCGAGCTCAGGGCAAAGCCAGTGTTCACGCTGCGGGCTCAGGCTGGGAGCATCTGGGACCAGGAGGTTGAGGCACGGTAGACTCGGTTTCAGGGGCAGCTGAGGGGGCCTAGACATAAAGACATCAAGCGGGCTGAAAGAAAAGGAAATGCCGGGAGGCGGGCATCCGAAGAGAAACCGGGTCATCCGGGACTGGAAGGCAGCTGTGTGCCCGCAGCGCAGCAGGGCCCACACCGGGTACATAACCGGGAGAAGGGAATCAGCGACCGGGCCAAGTTCTCAGACAAGACAGGACATCAGCGAAGGCTCTGGCGGCGCAAGGAATAGCTGGGACACCGAGAACACGCCAGGTCTCAGACAGGGAGCTAGTACCTAGGAGGCAGGACAGAGGCCGGACACGAGAAAGCTGCAGGTGCAGAAAAGGGTCAGGGCCACAGCGGGCAGGACTGTGCAGGCTGGATGTGTCGCCTAAGGCCTGGCTTCAACTGTCAAGCGCGCCCGGAGCTGGGCAGTTTGGAGGGTGGTGCTCACAGCGCCCTGTCCTTCAGGGGAGAAGCCTTACGCCTGCTCCTGGGACGGCTGCAGCTGGAAGTTCGCCCGCTCTGATGAACTGACCCGCCACTTCCGGAAGCACACTGGACACCGCCCCTTCTGCTGTGGGCTCTGCCCACGAGCCTTCTCACGCTCTGACCACCTCGCTTTGCACATGAAGCGTCACCTCTGAGTGATCCTGCGCAGGGACTGGGGGGGAAATGAGTTTTCCAGAGGACGGGCCGTTATTGGACTTCCGGCCCCACAGACCCACCCAGACCAAGAACTGACCCTTAGACCATGCAGAGGAGCCCTTGACAGAAGCCTCACACGTTCCCCGGGGAACCACACAGAAACAGATGGCCCCACACACCCAGCAAGACAGACCACCAAATAAATCATCTCACACGGACCCTTAGATCGGTGCAGGAGTGACCGGGAGTCCTGGAGCTGGAATAGGGGAGACGCACCAGAGTCTAGAAGAAGGCTTCATGCTGTGCCCGTCAGCGAGGTTGTCATGGTTACCATAAAATTCTTCAGTATAAAACAGTGTTGGCCTCACTGTAGTATGGGGCTGGAAATTAGGAGGGGCATTGAGCCCCCAACAGGTGATGCGTTTTCTGTATGCACACCTTCTAAAGGTCCTAAAACTTGGTCAACTTCTGATGGATGACACCCCCAGCCCCCTCCCACCCCAGCAGTGTACCCTTCTCCTCCATCAAGATCAGCTTATACAATCCAGTCATGTGTTGTGGAGGAGTAATGACAATTTTTATCTGTCCCCCCCTTTTTCTTGAGACGGGAACTTACTGTGGTTGGCCTGAAATGATGTTGACCAGGCTGGCATCAGCCTCACAGAGATTACTCTGTCATCCTGCCTCTGTCTCCCAAGTGGTTTTTTTCCTTTTGTTTGTTTGCTTTTTGTTTTTTGAGACAGGATTTCTCTGTGTAGCCTTATCTGTCCTGGACTTGCTTTGTAGACCAGGTTGGCCTTGAACTCACAGATATCTGCCCACCTCCATCTCCCAGAATGCCAGGGATATATGGAGAAATCCTGTCTTGAGAAAACAAAAAAGACTGGGTATGGGGGCACACACCTGTAATCCCAGTGCTCTGGGAGGCATCGGCAGGCAGATCTCTCTGAGTTCAAGGCCAGCTTGGTCCACAAAGCCAGTCCAGGGCAGCCAAGGCTACCCAGGAAAAACAAAAAAATAATAAAAATAAAAATGGGGGGGGGGTGGCGGTGAGGGTTGGAGAGATGGTTCAGGATGGTTCAGATGGATGTTCTTCTGGAGGTCCTGAGTTCAATTCCCAGCAACCACATCTATAACCAGATCTATAATGAGTCTGGTGCCCCTTTCTGGAATGCAAGCAGAACACTGTATACATAATAAAGAAATAAAGAAATAAATCTTTTTTAAAAAGCATGGTGGTATAGGCCTTTAGTCCCAGCATTCAGGAGTTAGGTGGATATGGTGCTTGTTTTTAAACTATTTTATTGGGGTTCCTTAAAGCCTTTCCCTTAGAGGGGAGAAGGGCCGCAGACCCCTTTACTTCTCCCAGCCATTTAGGGTCAGTGGGTTCTTTAGGGCTATACCAACTCTGTGAGTGGCAGACTCAGGCAGGACTCTTCAAGCCACTGCACCCCGGAGCATTTTTCTCTGTCTGCTCCAGACCACCACACTGTCTGTCTCTGGTCTCTCCAAACTGCCACAGCCACAGGCCACCACCACATGCCAAGCTTTCTCTTTCTGGGCTCTCATATTTATATCCTCAGAGCCCTAGAACAGGCCTCTCTCTGTGTCACACAAGGAAGGCCATTACCAGCTGGCAAAAGCCACACCCCACCAGACAATTAACAGCTATGGACATACTATAGCCCAACTAAAATCCCATGTTTAGGATTAAAACAAAAACATATTTACATAACCTAACTGAGTTTACAAAGAAACCAAAACTTTCATTACAGGTGGGTTTCTTAAGCTGGAGGCCAGCCTGGTCCACGTAGGGAGTTCCAGACTAGCCAGGGCTATGGCGGTACAGGTCTGTAATCCCACAGTTTGGGAGGGGGAAGCAGAATGACCAGGTGTCAAGGCCTGAGCCACATAATCACATCTGTGGTAGAAAGCTCAGCCGTCCCTGTATTCCTGCCTTGCTGCAAACCAAAGTGACTCATTCGGAGTACCCAAAATAAGATAAGTACCTAAGAGCCATAGTTCTGACATCTAGCTACATCTTCTACCATCCTTTTAGATTTAAATTACAAAACAAAGATTCAAAGATAAAGTTCATAGCAACTGAACTTTGAACTCCAAACATAAGATTCTTCTGTGGAAATGTAATAACTATTTGGGTCACAAGGGTGGGAAGACAGGTCTCAGTGATAGAGACTAACTATAAGACGATTAGGAAGTTTTCCCTAAAAGGTGAGGTATGAGGGTCTCCATTCTTATTGTCATAACTTTTACACTTGTGGTTTAAATGTGAAATTTATCCTACATGCTCATGTATTTGCACAGTTTTCTCTAGCTGGCAGTGTCATGAGTGTGTGAGTGTGTGAGTGTGTGTGTGTGTGTGTGTGTGTGTGCGAACGTGTAGAAGACTTGCAGAAAGGACAGGGAAAGGGTGCAGAAGACAGTGCGGTTAGGTTAGCAAGGGTGACCCAGCTGAAAGTGGCAGCCCATTCACACCGGGAATCCCAGCACTTGTGAGGCTGAGACAGGAGGCTGATAAAATAGAGGTTATCCTGTGCCACAGAGTGAGAGCCTGTTGAAAAACAAAGCCTCGGGCAGGGTGGCTGGAGAGGTGGCTTGGTGGCTGCAAGCACCTTCTGTTCTTCCAGGGCCCTGAGTCCGGTCCCCAGCACCCACACAGTGCTCACAACTACATGGACGTCCAGCTGTCTGGATCTAACACCTGTGGGCATCGTCCAGCACTTGGTGTACACAGACGCACACACACAGAGACACAAAAATAAAAAATTTAAAAGCTGGAAGGATAGCTCATATTTATATAACCCCAAAGAGTTGAGTGCTTCAGGCCAGCCCAAGCTCAGTGAGTCCCTGTCTCCATAAGATGACTCAGCCTGTAGAGGCTCCTGCTGTCAAGCCTGTGCCCCGAGTGTGAGCCACAAATCCCACGTGATGGAAGGAGAAACTCCCAGTGTCCTGCCTCTGCATGCTGTGCTCATACAATTCCACATATAATCACACATACAATGTGCTTGAGCACCTCTGTGCCTTGGGATTTACCACCTTGTGATTTGGGTGGTAAAGTCAGAAAGATCCGGACTAAAATTTAAAAACAAAAACAACTCCCTGAGATGTAGAAGAGAAAAAGAAAGGCAGATTTGGCCAGGCGGTAGTGAATCCCAGCACTCTCGAGACAGAGGCAGCGGGATCTCTAAATTCCTAGTTCAAAGCCAGCCTGGTCTTCAGTTTCAGGATAGCTAAGGCTACCCAGGGAAACGCTGTCTCAAAGAATACAGAGAATACAAAAATACAGAGAAACAAAGGTTTGTTCCTGATTCAGAAACTTGAAACACACACACACACACACACACACACACACACACACACACACAAATAATAATAATAAAATAAAATTTAAATTTTTTTTTTAAAATCAGAGGTTGGAGGGCCTTAGAACAGTCACGTGACAGCCAATGGCTATGCGAGGGGCGGGTGGGTGGAGCCCATCCGGAGCTGAGTGCGCCCGGAGCGGGAGGGCGGGGCGGCGCTGAGGGGCGGGGTCCGCGGCGTGCCCAAGGAAGCCCGCCCCCGCTCCGGGCCTCGCCCGAACGGCCTCAGCCCTCGAGAAGCCGCGACGCGTCTCGGCAGACTTTAAGGGAAGTTAGCCTGGACCTCGTGACCCGGCTGTTCCTCGTCCGGCCGCGGATTTCATCGCTGCCTCGCCATGGCCTTGCCGGGCTCGCTGCTGCTGGCTGCGCTGCTGTGGGTCCCTGCCGAAGCCCTGAGCTGCTACGGGGACTCCGGGCGGCCTGTGGACTGGTGAGCAAGTAGCTGCCGTTCGGTCCCCGCAGGCTGCGTGGGCACCGGAACGAAGCGCCTCCCCGCAGGACCTCAGATCCCCTCTCCCCGCTCTCCAGGTTCGTGGTGTACAAGCTGCCGGCTCACAGCGCGGCTGGGGATAAGCCGCGGGAGGGTCTGAAGTATAAATACCTGGACCAGAGCTCCGAGGGTTGGCGTGACGGCGTGGGGTACATCAACAGCTCGGAGGGGGCCGTGGGCCGCAGCCTGCTGCCGCTGTACCGCGGGAACTCCAGCCAGGTGACAGAGCGCCTCCGGAACCCCGCGGGGGCGCGGGGGCGTGGGGGCGCGGGGGCGCGGGGGCGCGGAGGCGCAGGGAGTGAAGTAGCCTCTATGCCTTCTCCTAGCTGGCCTTTCTGCTCTACAACGACCAGCCTCCTAAGTCCAGCTCAGCCCGGGACGCTGCCAGCCGTGGGCACACCAAAGGTGAGGCTTGGACTAGTGGTCGCGGAGCCTTCCGGAAATTCTTGTCAGTTTACCCAGACTGGCCTTTGGCCCTGTGAAACCTCGGCTTCCTGCCCGCACCGCTGTAATCCCCAGCCATCTGCCTGGTTGCAGGCAGCAGGGTTCCCCGAGCTCCTCTCACCGCCTCCTTCTGGTTCAGGTGTCCTGCTCCTGGACCGAGAAGGGGGCTTCTGGCTGATCCACAGCGTGCCTCGCTTCCCAAGCCCCGCCTCCTCCGGCGCCTACAGCTGGCCTCCCAATGCTCAAACCTTTGGCCAGACCCTTCTCTGTGTGTCCTTCCCCTTCTCTCAGTTCTCAAGGATTGGTGAGTAGAATCCGGGAGGTGGGATACGCCTCAGACTCCCTTGAGTAACCGGCTCACATTTCTTCCTCTCCTTGTCTCTTCCAGCTAAGCAGCTAACCTATACCTATCCGTTGGTCTATGACCACAAGCTGGAAGGCGTCTTTGCTCAGAAATTACCTGTTCTAGAGGAAGTGATCAAGGGCCACCATGTCCTCCAGGAGCCCTGGAATAGTAGTGTAATCCTCACATCAGCAGCTGGGGCCACCTTCCAGAGCTTCGCCAAATTTGGAAAATTTGGAGATGGTAAGCCCTGATTGAGGGGTGAAGAGCACTTTCTTTGTAGAGGAAGGTCCCTGCCATCCCCAGGCCTAAGGGCTAGCCACATTTAGAGCCCAGATGTCTTTGGGAGTCAAATGACAACCATGAGCAGCAAGCAGCCAACAGACCAGTTGGGCAGATGGCACATGTCTGTAATCCCAGCACTGTGCAGGCTGACAGGAGTTTAAGATCAGCCCACAGACCTAGGCTCAAATATTGGTTTGCAGATGTGTAATGTATGAGATGCCCGAGCTTGTTTACTCATCTTAAAAATTAGGGTATAGG